GAGTATGTGGCCTTGAATCTCTTCCTGCCTTGAGTCAAGCTGAGAAGTCATTCTTGTATCTACTGATCACTTCTCCATCAAGAGATGTAAGTACATAAACATATTGATTCAATGAGGAAACCTGGTTAATGCGGCCACCCCATTAATAGGGCCAACAACCATATCTGAAATCCCAACCTGTATAATCCTTTATAGTTTTACCCAAGTGACACGGCCGCTCACTCCAGTTATGTTCATCTTTCCACTGTTACAGTCTTTCCCATATTGGTGACCGTATTAATGGGGTTCCACTGTAGAAGGTTAAAGTCTGCATATGAGCCAAGGGGCCCATCAGGCCGGATCTTATCCTGGTTTCTATAGTGTGAAGTGACTAGGAGTATTTCTGCTCCCCCTAGATGGGATGCTACATGTAGTCCATCGCAGGGTTACCCCCAGCATTATAGGTCACCGGCACCCATTTATACACCTAGGTGGAGAGAGGTGCTGTGAGAGTAAAGTGTTTTGCCCAAGAACACAACACAATGTCCCTGGCCGGGGCTCGAAGCCGTACCACTCGATCCGGAGACAAGCACACTAACCATGAGGCCACTGTGCCTCCCATTCCACTGTAGGAGATTGAGTTATTATAAGTTATTTGCTTGTCACCTAACTTAATTTTGCATTGTCATTGTATTATATTGCAATATAATGTTTGAAAGTAATCTTGTTGTGTTGTTTGCTGTATTGATTTGCTGTTTAGCTGTTGAAGAAGACTCCTCGACAAGTGTTGGTCCTGGACTTTCCTGGTGGAGGGCAGGTACTGTACACATGAGACATGAATTCCATCTAGCAGGATATTGCACCTCATACTTTGTATCTATTGTGCACCTTTACATGTAATTAGAAATAATGGGAGTCCTTTGGACTGTTCACACTGCAATTTTTTATTAATATGTTTTACTCTCAAAAATATGATTAGGAGGTCTGTTCCAAAGCCTGACAGAAGAATGATAATGTGTAAGCCCACTTCAAATGTTGAACTATTCTGACTTGAACCTTGATGGAACATAGTCAG